AGAAAGAAAGAAAGAAAGAAAGAAAGAAAGAAAGAAAGAAAGAAAGAAAGAAAGAAAGAAAGATGAGAAAGATGAGAAAGATGAGAGAGAAATATATTGCCCAGTCAGCGAGCAAATAGTGAAGCTGGCTTTTAACAACTGTTCTGTCTCACTTCTGAGCCTGCTGCCCCTTCATCAGGACACCTGGGGAGTTCCTGAGTAGCTACCAAGTCGACAGGGATTCCCCCAGAAAAACTGGTTCACCTGGTCATGTGAGTGGGGGTGGGAGTCCCTCGCTGACACACAAACTGTGTTCTCTGGGAATGCTTCTCCGGGTTCCACTGTTGGGCTCCATCTCCAAAACAAACATCGGTGAATCCTGCCCCAGCACGCTAGGAGCAGTTTCGTATTTATCTTTGGCGGTTCAGCTTGTCCCTCATCCCAGGTTCAGTGTGGAAGGTGTGACAAATGTTGACTTTGCTGCAAGCCGCAGTCCTGGCAAAATAGTTCTCGGAAGATTCCTAGACACAACGAAATCGGGGTAGCGGGAGGCAGCCAGGCAGCGCAGAGGCAGCTGAACAAGAAAATGAGATTAGGAGGCCAGAGACCCAACAGGTCTGACCTTCAAATAAGTTAGGTGAACGGTGACAAGCTGTGGTGCCGTCTTCTGTCCTCTTTCCCCGTCTGTTAGAGAGTGCTCAACCCAGTGTCTCAGCTCCCTTCCAGGTCTCAATTTGGGTTTCTCTGTCATACCCAACACTGTTTTTTTTTTTTTATTTCTTTTGTTTGTTTTTTCTATTTTTATTTTATTTTATGTGTATGAGTGTTCGTCTGCACCAGTGTAATGTGTCATACGCATGCCTGGGACCTATAGAGATCAAAAGGTGTCCGGTCCCTGGAATTGAAATCATGGATGGTTGTGAACCACAGTGTGGGTGATGAGGACTGGACCCGGGATCCTCCGCAAGCATAACAAACGGTCTTAACCAGGGAGAGCGCTCTCTCCAGCCCCTCTGTCCTAGTTTAAGAGTCTGGTCAGGGAAGATAAGTAGATGCTACCCTCTGCCACATCTGGATGGTTAACACTGCTGGGAGCACTTCTGAGGACTGTGAAGCAGAACCAGGCTCGGGGCGGGGAGGCGGGGAGTGCTCCACAAGAGACATCCCCCGTGGACTCAGAAGGCAGAACTGAAGCAGCACAGGAGCGAGGCAACTACCAGGCCTGGTTGCTCCATAACGGAGTTTGTACACAGCAAGTGCAGCAGGCCGCAGAGGAAGAGCAAAGAGCTTGCGCATGCGCGGTTTCAGGGAGCGCTGATCCTGGCCTATTCAGTCTGTCTTCTGAGCCTCATTCACTGGAAAGTGACACCCTGTAAACGCACACACAGCTAAGTGGACAGTTGTCACTCGCTGCTCAATCTTGTTTTCCCACGTGTGCTTTGCTTACAGCTTTATGCTTTATAAAATCGATGTATTTCAGTCATTAGGAACAAAAATATCTATCCACCTAAAGGATGATGTGATCTCTTTCTGAGCAAGCAGGGGGAAAAAGGCAAATGTCTTCCAAACCCAATTACTCAAGATCTTAAAAAACAGACCCAAACCGGGTCAACAAACCAATTACTATACCAATAATTCAAAGCAGGTAGAAAACCTAGAATGGAGGATGATTGTTAATCCTTAGGTTTTTTTTTTCTCTCATCTAACTGGGGCTGGCATTGAGTTCCTGATACGATATGCTTGCCTTTCTCCTCCTTCATGGTGCTGAGATTCAATGCACCACCATATCAGGCTACTTCTAAAGTAAATGTTTTAAAATACTAGTAATTAAGTGAGAATTAATCTCCTCTTCCATAGGATGTTAAGTGGCTAAATGTAAACTCCTAAAGCCACATGCCTGGGTTCGGTCTCGTTTGGTTCTTCCTAGCTGTGGGACCTTGTAGATGTGACTCCGTTTCTGTGTGACTTGGTGGTATCATAGGTTGTTGTGAAGGTGCAGGGAATTCATGCACACAAAGTGCCTAAGACAGGGGCTGGCACCAAGTGTACACCACCCAAATATTGCTACTTAATGCCTAAAAAAGATATCAAAATTGGTACTGATGGACAAGCATTACAAACAACATAAATGTGGACAAAATGGTGTCTAGATCAAGGGCCAAGCTTATAAAGGCATCACTTCTCAAAGACTAGCTCACGCAGGGCTTCGTACCACCTTGCCTTCCTCCAGGCCCAGTCTCACCTCCGCCCTTCCCTCTTCTAAGGAGAATGTCCTCTAGCTGTCTGCCTCAGCTCCTGGCCGTCCTTCTCCAGAGAATTCAAAGAGTGGATAATGGGGAGTATGAAGCTGTAATTAAGAGCTGGGCTGGGAAAAGGGGGCCAAGGGAAAAGAGCAAAAGCAATCTTGGGCTGAGCACTCTGGGGACGACACAGATCAGAGATCAGAGTCAGCTGAAGAAAAGCCCTAGGACTTCTCAGACACTACCTGGGCGACAGACCGGGTCTCCCTTGATGGCCTTCAAGAGGTGCAAATGAAAATTAAGGTCATTTGACTTCTGATTGCTGGACTGTATTTCCATGGATGGGACTCAGTAAAACTAGCACATATGCACTGCCCACACTGATTTTATATGTGCATTATATCCACATAAATAGGTATAATGAAACTACATATATCTCTTTAAGTAGGAAATAAACTAATATATGCAAAAATCTCCATATTCATCTCTGTTTACACATATGACTCATATAAAAATAACTGTGGGCAAAAGCTTGAGAACAACAAACTCAAAAGGCCTTTTGAAAAAGTAAAATATGCACATGATATATATTTAAACAGCTTGGAAAGTTTTTAAATAGTCATTTTAGCTGTTGTATGTTGTTGGTAGTTTTGTTCTTTTGGGGGGCCCACCACCCAGCTCCCAAATAAATCACACACAGAGGCTTATTCTTAATTATGAATGTCTGGCCTTAGCTTGGCTTG